GTACTCGAGTCTGTCCGGCCATTGGTCGGCGCGTGCAGGCCTACTTGTCGGCGCTGGCGACCGTGCGGAAACGCGTGCGAGCGAGCAGCTCAATGAAGCCGCGAGAGAACTGGTCGACCAGGCGAGCTGCGGTGCGAGGAGACGAACGCGACGCTCGGAGCTGCGTGCGATGCGAAGGAGGCGACCCCGTCGGTGGCTGGATCGGATGTGGGCAGTACGTGTCGAAATGGTCGGTCGATCAATGGTGGCGATAGGATGAACGCGCTCGCGTTGCGTGTGGCAGCGTGCGTAGGTGGTGCGTTTGGTGTTTGTGTTTGTGTTTGTGTTTGTTTGTTGTTGGTCTTGATTGTGTGTTTGTTGGTGGCGATGGTGTTCAGCCTTCCCATATAGTCTAGGCGGTTAGGATAGCTGGCTCTCACCCAGCAGACCCGGGTTCGAGTCCCGGTGTGGGAACATCTTTTGCTCTTCTTTGCTGCTTCTCCACTCTTCTTTTCGCCGCTTTGGGCGTTCGTCACAGTCTCGGTGCCGTGCTGACCCGCTGCTACATCCCATCCACGGATCCAACCATGCTCGCACGACCAGGAGGTACTCGAGTCTGTCCGGCCATTGGTCGGCGCGTGCAGGCCTACTTGTCGGCGCTGGCGACCGTGCGGAAACGCGTGCGAGCGAGCAGCTCAATGAAGCCGCGAGAGAGCTGGTCGACCAGGCGAGCTGCGGTGCGAGGAGACGAACGCGACGCTCGGAGCTGCGTGCGATGCGAAGGAGGCGACCCCGTCGGTGGCTGGATCGGATGTGGGCAGTACGTGTCGAAATGGTCGGTCGATCAATGGTGGCGATAGGATGAACGCGCTCGCGTTGCGTGTGGCAGCGTGCGTAGGTGGTGCGTTTGGTGTTTGCGTTTGTTTGTTGTTGGTCTTGATTGTGTGTTTGTTGGTGGCGATGGTGTTCAGCCTTCCCATATAGTCTAGGCGGTTAGGATAGCTGGCTCTCACCCAGCAGACCCGGGTTCGAGTCCCGGTGTGGGAACATCTTTTGCTCTTCTTTGCTGCTTCTCCACTCTTCTTTTCGCCGCTTTGGGCGTTCGTCACAGTCTCGGTGCCGTGCTGACCCGCTGCTACATCCCATCCACGGATCCAACCATGCTCGCACGACCAGGAGGTACTCGAGTCTGTCCGGCCATTGGTCGGCGCGTGCAGGCCTACTTGTCGGCGCTGGCCACCGTGCGGAAACGCGTGCGAGCGAGCAGCTCAATGAAGCCGCGAGAGAGCTGGTCGACCAGGCGAGCTGCGGTGCGAGGAGACGAACGCGACGCTCGGAGCTGCGTGCGATGCGAAGGAGGCGACCCCGTCGGTGGCTGGATCGGATGTGGGCAGTACGTGTCGAAATGGTCGGTCGATCAATGGTGGCGATAGGATGAACGCGCTCGCGTTGCGTGTGGCAGCGTGCGTAGGTGGTGCGTTTGGTGTTTGCGTTTGTGTTTGTGTTTGTTTGTTGTTGGTCTTGATTGTGTGTTTGTTGGTGGCGATGGTGTTCAGCCTTCCCATATAGTCTAGGCGGTTAGGATAGCTGGCTCTCACCCAGCAGACCCGGGTTCGAGTCCCGGTGTGGGAACATCTTTTGCTCTTCTTTGCTGCTTCTCCACTCTTCTTTTCGCCGCTTTGGGCGTTCGTCACAGTCTCGGTGCCGTGCTGACCCGCTGCTACATCCCATCCACGGATCCAACCATGCTCGCACGACCAGGAGGTACTCGAGTCTGTCCGGCCATTGGTCGGCGCGTGCAGGCCTACTTGTCGGCGCTGGCCACCGTGCGGAAACGCGTGCGAGCGAGCAGCTCAATGAAGCCGCGAGAGAGCTGGTCGACCAGGCGAGCTGCGGTGCGAGGAGACGAACGCGACGCTCGGAGCTGCGTGCGATGCGAAGGAGGCGACCCCGTCGGTGGCTGGATCGGATGTGGGCAGTACGTGTCGAAATGGTCGGTCGATCAATGGTGGCGATAGGATGAACGCGCTCGCGTTGCGTGTGGCAGCGTGCGTAGGTGGTGCGTTTGGTGTTTGTGTTTGTGTTTGTGTTTGTGTTTGTTTGTTGTTGGTCTTGATTGTGTGTTTGTTGGTGGCGATGGTGTTCAGCCTTCCCATATAGTCTAGGCGGTTAGGATAGCTGGCTCTCACCCAGCAGACCCGGGTTCGAGTCCCGGTGTGGGAACATCTTTTGCTCTTCTTTGCTGCTTCTCCACTCTTCTTTTCGCCGCTTTGGGCGTTCGTCACAGTCTCGGTGCCGTGCTGACCCGCTGCTACATCCCATCCACGGATCCAACCATGCTCGCACGACCAGGAGGTACTCGAGTCTGTCCGGCCATTGGTCGGCGCGTGCAGGCCTACTTGTCGGCGCTGGCCACCGTTCGGAAACGCGTGCGAGCGAGCAGCTCAATGAAGCCGCGAGAGAGCTGGTCGACCAGGCGAGCTGCGGTGCGAGGAGACGAACGCGACGCTCGGAGCTGCGTGCGATGCGAAGGAGGCGACCCCGTCGGTGGCTGGATCGGATGTGGGCAGTACGTGTCGAAATGGTCGGTCGATCAATGGTGGCGATAGGATGAACGCGCTCGCGTTGCGTGTGGCAGCGTGCGTAGGTGGTGCGTTTGGTGTTTGTGTTTGTGTTTGTGTTTGTTTGTTGTTGGTCTTGATTGTGTGTTTGTTGGTGGCGATGGTGTTCAGCCTTCCCATATAGTCTAGGCGGTTAGGATAGCTGGCTCTCACCCAGCAGACCCGGGTTCGAGTCCCGGTGTGGGAACATCTTTTGCTCTTCTTTGCTGCTTCTCCACTCTTCTTTTCGCCGCTTTGGGCGTTCGTCACAGTCTCGGTGCCGTGCTGACCCGCTGCTACATCCCATCCACGGATCCAACCATGCTCGCACGACCAGGAGGTACTCGAGTCTGTCCGGCCATTGGTCGGCGCGTGCAGGCCTACTTGTCGGCGCTGGCCACCGTGCGGAAACGCGTGCGAGCGAGCAGCTCAATGAAGCCGCGAGAGAGCTGGTCGACCAGGCGAGCTGCGGTGCGAGCAGACGAACGCGACGCTCGGAGCTGCGTGCGATGCGAAGGAGGCGACCCCGTCGGTGGCTGGATCGGATGTGGGCAGTACGTGTCGAAATGGTCGGTCGATCAATGGTGGCGATAGGATGAACGCGCTCGCGTTGCGTGTGGCAGCGTGCGTAGGTGGTGCGTTTGGTGTTTGTGTTTGTGTTTGTGTTTGTTTGTTGTTGGTCTTGATTGTGTGTTTGTTGGTGGCGATGGTGTTCAGCCTTCCCATATAGTCTAGGCGGTTAGGATAGCTGGCTCTCACCCAGCAGACCCGGGTTCGAGTCCCGGTGTGGGAACATCTTTTGCTCTTCTTTGCTGCTTCTCCACTCTTCTTTTCGCCGCTTTGGGCGTTCGTCACAGTCTCGGTGCCGTGCTGACCCGCTGCTACATCCCATCCACGGATCCAACCATGCTCGCACGACCAGGAGGTACTCGAGTCTGTCCGGCCATTGGTCGGCGCGTGCAGGCCTACTTGTCGGCGCTGGCCACCGTGCGGAAACGCGTGCGAGCGAGCAGCTCAATGAAGCCGCGAGAGAGCTGGTCGACCAGGCGAGCTGCGGTGCGAGCAGACGAACGCGACGCTCGGAGCTGCGTGCGATGCGAAGGAGGCGACCCCGTCGGTGGCTGGATCGGATGTGGGCAGTACGTGTCGAAATGGTCGGTCGATCAATGGTGGCGATAGGATGAACGCGCTCGCGTTGCGTGTGGCAGCGTGCGTAGGTGGTGCGTTTGGTGTTTGTGTTTGTGTTTGTGTTTGTGTTTGTTTGTTGTTGGTCTTGATTGTGTGTTTGTTGGTGGCGATGGTGTTCAGCCTTCCCATATAGTCTAGGCGGTTAGGATAGCTGGCTCTCACCCAGCAGACCCGGGTTCGAGTCCCGGTGTGGGAACATCTTTTGCTCTTCTTTGCTGCTTCTCCACTCTTCTTTTCGCCGCTTTGGGCGTTCGTCACAGTCTCGGTGCCGTGCTGACCCGCTGCTACATCCCATCCACGGATCCAACCATGCTCGCACGACCAGGAGGTACTCGAGTCTGTCCGGCCATTGGTCGGCGCGTGCAGGCCTACTTGTCGGCGCTGGCGACCGTGCGGAAACGCGTGCGAGCAGCTCAATGAAGCCGCGAGAGAGCTGGTCGACCAGGCGAGCTGCGGTGCGAGCAGACGAACGCGACGCTCGGAGCTGCGTGCGATGCGAAAGAGGCGACCCCGTCGGTGGCTGGATCGGATGTGGGCAGTACGTGTCGAAATGGTCGGTCGATCAATGGTGGCGATAGGATGAACGCGCTCGCGTTGCGTGTGGCAGCGTGCGTAGGTGGTGCGTTTGGTGTTTGTGTTTGTGTTTGTTTGTTGTTGGTCTTGATTGTGTGTTTGTTGGTGGCGATGGTGTTCAGCCTTCCCATATAGTCTAGGCGGTTAGGATAGCTGGCTCTCACCCAGCAGACCCGGGTTCGAGTCCCGGTGTGGGAACATCTTTTGCTCTTCTTTGCTGCTTCTCCACTCTTCTTTTCGCCGCTTTGGGCGTTCGTCACAGTCTCGGTGCCGTGCTGACCCGCTGCTACATCCCATCCACGGATCCAACCATGCTCGCACGACCAGGAGGTACTCGAGTCTGTCCGGCCATTGGTCGGCGCGTGCAGGCCTACTTGTCGGCGCTGGCCACCGTGCGGAAACGCGTGCGAGCGAGCAGCTCAATGAAGCCGCGAGAGAGCTGGTCGACCAGGCGAGCTGCGGTGCGAGCAGACGAACGCGACGCTCGGAGCTGCGTGCGATGCGAAGGAGGCGACCCCGTCGGTGGCTGGATCGGATGTGGGCAGTACGTGTCGAAATGGTCGGTCGATCAATGGTGGCGATAGGATGAACGCGCTCGCGTTGCGTGTGGCAGCGTGCGTGGGTGGTGCGTTTGGTGTTTGTGTTTGTTTGTTGTTGGCTTTGATTGTGAGTTTGTTGGTGGCGATGGTGTTCAGCCTTCCCATATAGTCTAGGCGGTTAGGATAGCTGGCTCTCACCCAGCAGACCCGGGTCGAGTCCCGGTGTGGGAACATCTTTTGCTCTTCTTTGCTGCTTCTCCACTCTTGTTTTCGCCGCTTTGGGCGTTCGTCACAGTCTCGGTGCCGTGCTGACCCGCTGCTACATCCCATCCACGGATCCAACCATGCTCGCACGACCAGGAGGTACTCGAGTCTGTCCGGCCATTGGTCGGCGCGTGCAGGCCTACTTGTCGGCGCTGGCCACCGTGCGGAAACGCGTGCGAGCGAGCAGCTCAATGAAGCCGCGAGAGAGCTGGTCGACCAGGCGAGCTGCGGTGCGAGCAGACGAACGCGACGCTCGGAGCTGCGTGCGATGCGAAGGAGGCGACCCGATCGGTGGCTGGATCGGATGTGGGCAGTACGTGTCGAAATGGTCGGTCGATCAATGGTGGCGATAGGATGAACGCGCTCGCGTTGCGTGTGGCAGCGTGCGTAGGTGGTGCGTTTGGTGTTTGGTGTTTGTGTTTGTTTGTTGTTGGTCTTGATTGTGTGTTTGTTGGTGGCGATGGTGTTCAGCCTTCCCATATAGTCTAGGCGGTTAGGATAGCTGGCTCTCACCCAGCAGACCCGGGTCGAGTCCCGGTGTGGGAACGTCTTTTGCTCTTCTTTGCTGCTTCTCCACTCTTGTTTTCGCCGCTTTGGGCGTTCGTCACAGTCTCGGTGCCGTGCTGACCCGCTGCTACATCCCATCCACGGATCCAACCATGCTCGCACGACCAGGAGGTACTCGAGTCTGTCCGGCCATTGGTCGGCGCGTGCAGGCCTACTTGTCGGCGCTGGCCACCGTGCGGAAACGCGTGCGAGCGAGCAGCTCAATGAAGCCGCGAGAGAGCTGGTCGACCAGGCGAGCTGCGGTGCGAGCAGACGAACGCGACGCTCGGAGCTGCGTGCGATGCGAAGGAGGCGACCCGATCGGTGGCTGGATCGGATGTGGGCAGTACGTGTCGAAATGGTCGGTCGATCAATGGTGGCGATAGGATGAACGCGCTCGCGTTGCGTGTGGCAGCGTGCGTAGGTGGTGCGTTTGGTGTTTGTGTTTGTGTTTGTGTTTGTTTGTTGTTGGTCTTGATTGTGTGTTTGTTGGTGGCGATGGTGTTCAGCCTTCCCATATAGTCTAGGCGGTTAGGATAGCTGGCTCTCACCCAGCAGACCCGGGTCGAGTCCCGGTGTGGGAACATCTTTTGCTCTTCTTTGCTGCTTCTCCACTCTTGTTTTCGCCGCTTTGGGCGTTCGTCACAGTCTCGGTGCCGTGCTGACCCGCTGCTACATCCCATCCACGGATCCAACCATGCTCGCACGACCAGGAGGTACTCGAGTCTGTCCGGCCATTGGTCGGCGCGTGCAGGCCTACTTGTCGGCGCTGGCGACCGTGCGGAAACGCGTGCGAGCGAGCAGCTCAATGAAGCCGCGAGAGAGCTGGTCGACCAGGCGAGCTGCGGTGCGAGCAGACGAACGCGACGCTCGGAGCTGCGTGCGATGCGAAGGAGGCGACCCCGTCGGTGGCTGGATCGGATGTGGGCAGTACGTGTCGAAATGGTCGGTCGATCAATGGTGGCGATAGGATGAACGCGCTCGCGTTGCGTGTGGCAGCGTGCGTAGGTGGTGCGTTTGGTGTTTGTGTTTGTTTGTTGTTGGCCTTGATTGTGTGTTTGTTGGTGGCGATGGTGTTCAGCCTTCCCATATAGTCTAGGCGGTTAGGATAGCTGGCTCTCACCCAGCAGACCCGGGTCGAGTCCCGGTGTGGGAACATCTTTTGCTCTTCTTTGCTGCTTCTCCACTCTTGTTTTCGCCGCTTTGGGCGTTCGTCACAGTCTCGGTGCCGTGCTGACCCGCTGCTACATCCCATCCACGGATCCAACCATGCTCGCACGACCAGGAGGTACTCGAGTCTGTCCGGCCATTGGTCGGCGCGTGCAGGCCTACTTGTCGGCGCTGGCGACCGTGCGGAAACGCGTGCGAGCGAGCAGCTCAATGAAGCCGCGAGAGAGCTGGTCGACCAGGCGAGCTGCGGTGCGAGCAGACGAACGCGACGCTCGGAGCTGCGTGCGATGCGAAGGAGGCGACCCGATCGGTGGCTGGATCGGATGTGGGCAGTACGTGTCGAAATGGTCGGTCGATCAATGGTGGCGATAGGATGAACGCGCTCGCGTTGCGTGTGGCAGCGTGCGTAGGTGGTGCGTTTGGTGTTTGTGTTTGTGTTTGTTTGTTGTTGGCCTTGATTGTGTGTTTGTTGGTGGCGATGGTGTTCAGCCTTCCCATATAGTCTAGGCGGTTAGGATAGCTGGCTCTCACCCAGCAGACCCGGGTCGAGTCCCGGTGTGGGAACATCTTTTGCTCTTCTTTGCTGCTTCTCCACTCTTCTTTTCGCCGCTTTGGGCGTTCGTCACAGTCTCGGTGCCGTGCTGACCCGCTGCTACATCCCATCCACGGATCCAACCATGCTCGCACGACCAGGAGGTACTCGAGTCTGTCCGGCCATTGGTCGGCGCGTGCAGGCCTACTTGTCGGCGCTGGCGACCGTGCGGAAACGCGTGCGAGCGAGCAGCTCAATGAAGCCGCGAGAGAGCTGGTCGACCAGGCGAGCTGCGGTGCGAGCAGACGAACGCGACGCTCGGAGCTGCGTGCGATGCGAAGGAGGCGACCCGATCGGTGGCTGGATCGGATGTGGGCAGTACGTGTCGAAATGGTCGGTCGATCAATGGTGGCGATAGGATGAACGCGCTCGCGTTGCGTGTGGCAGCGTGCGTAGGTGGTGCGTTTGGTGTTTGGTGTTTGTGTTTGTGTTTGTTTGTTGTTGGTCTTGATTGTGTGTTTGTTGGTGGCGATGGTGTTCAGCCTTCCCATATAGTCTAGGCGGTTAGGATAGCTGGCTCTCACCCAGCAGACCCGGGTCGAGTCCCGGTGTGGGAACATCTTTTGCTCTTCTTTGCTGCTTCTCCACTCTTGTTTTCGCCGCTTTGGGCGTTCGTCACAGTCTCGGTGCCGTGCTGACCCGCTGCTACATCCCATCCACGGATCCAACCATGCTCGCACGACCAGGAGGTACTCGAGTCTGTCCGGCCATTGGTCGGCGCGTGCAGGCCTACTTGTCGGCGCTGGCGACCGTGCGGAAACGCGTGCGAGCGAGCAGCTCAATGAAGCCGCGAGAGAGCTGGTCGACCAGGCGAGCTGCGGTGCGAGCAGACGAACGCGACGCTCGGAGCTGCGTGCGATGCGAAGGAGGCGACCCCGTCGGTGGCTGGATCGGATGTGGGCAGTACGTGTCGAAATGGTCGGTCGATCAATGGTGGCGATAGGATGAACGCGCTCGCGTTGCGTGTGGCAGCGTGCGTAGGTGGTGCGTTTGGTGTTTGTGTTTGTTTGTTGTTGGCCTTGATTGTGTGTTTGTTGGTGGCGATGGTGTTCAGCCTTCCCATATAGTCTAGGCGGTTAGGATAGCTGGCTCTCACCCAGCAGACCCGGGTCGAGTCCCGGTGTGGGAACATCTTTTGCTCTTCTTTGCTGCTTCTCCACTCTTCTTTTCGCCGCTTTGGGCGTTCGTCACAGTCTCGGTGCCGTGCTGACCCGCTGCTACATCCCATCCACGGATCCAACCATGCTCGCACGACCAGGAGGTACTCGAGTCTGTCCGGCCATTGGTCGGCGCGTGCAGGCCTACTTGTCGGCGCTGGCGACCGTGCGGAAACGCGTGCGAGCGAGCAGCTCAATGAAGCCGCGAGAGAGCTGGTCGACCAGGCGAGCTGCGGTGCGAGCAGACGAACGCGACGCTCGGAGCTGCGTGCGATGCGAAGGAGGCGACCCGATCGGTGGCTGGATCGGATGTGGGCAGTACGTGTCGAAATGGTCGGTCGATCAATGGTGGCGATAGGATGAACGCGCTCGCGTTGCGTGTGGCAGCGTGCGTAGGTGGTGCGTTTGGTGTTTGGTGTTTGTGTTTGTTTGTTGTTGGTCTTGATTGTGTGTTTGTTGGTGGCGATGGTGTTCAGCCTTCCCATATAGTCTAGGCGGTTAGGATAGCTGGCTCTCACCCAGCAGACCCGGGTCGAGTCCCGGTGTGGGAACATCTTTTGCTCTTCTTTGCTGCTTCTCCACTCTTCTTTTCGCCGCTTTGGGCGTTCGTCACAGTCTCAGTGCCGTGCTGACCCGCTGCTACATCCCATCCACGGATCCAACCATGCTCGCACGACCAGGAGGTACTCGAGTCTGTCCGGCCATTGGTCGGCGCGTGCAGGCCTACTTGTCGGCGCTGGCGACCGTGCGGAAACGCGTGCGAGCGAGCAGCTCAATGAAGCCGCGAGAGAGCTGGTCGACCAGGCGAGCTGCGGTGCGAGCAGACGAACGCGACGCTCGGAGCTGCGTGCGATGCGAAGGAGGCGACCCGATCGGTGGCTGGATCGGATGTGGGCAGTACGTGTCGAAATGGTCGGTCGATCAATGGTGGCGATAGGATGAACGCGCTCGCGTTGCGTGTGGCAGCGTGCGTAGGTGGTGCGTTTGGTGTTTGGTGTTTGTGTTTGTTTGTTGTTGGTCTTGATTGTGTGTTTGTTGGTGGCGATGGTGTTCAGCCTTCCCATATAGTCTAGGCGGTTAGGATAGCTGGCTCTCACCCAGCAGACCCGGGTCGAGTCCCGGTGTGGGAACATCTTTTGCTCTTCTTTGCTGCTTCTCCACTCTTGTTTTCGCCGCTTTGGGCGTTCGTCACAGTCTCGGTGCCGTGCTGACCCGCTGCTACATCCCATCCACGGATCCAACCATGCTCGCACGACCAGGAGGTACTCGAGTCTGTCCGGCCATTGGTCGGCGCGTGCAGGCCTACTTGTCGGCGCTGGCGACCGTGCGGAAACGCGTGCGAGCGAGCAGCTCAATGAAGCCGCGAGAGAGCTGGTCGACCAGGCGAGCTGCGGTGCGAGCAGACGAACGCGACGCTCGGAGCTGCGTGCGATGCGAAGGAGGCGACCCGATCGGTGGCTGGATCGGATGTGGGCAGTACGTGTCGAAATGGTCGGTCGATCAATGGTGGCGATAGGATGAACGCGCTCGCGTTGCGTGTGGCAGCGTGCGTAGGTGGTGCGTTTGGTGTTTGTGTTTGTTTGTTGTTGGTCTTGATTGTGTGTTTGTTGGTGGCGATGGTGTTCAGCCTTCCCATATAGTCTAGGCGGTTAGGATAGCTGGCTCTCACCCAGCAGACCCGGGTTCGAGTCCCGGTGTGGGAACATCTTTTGCTCTTCTTTGCTGCTTCTCCACTCTTGTTTTCGCCGCTTTGGGCGTTCGTCACAGTCTCGGTGCCGTGCTGACCCGCTGCTACATCCCATCCACGGATCCAACCATGCTCGCACGACCAGGAGGTACTCGAGTCTGTCCGGCCATTGGTCGGCGCGTGCAGGCCTACTTGTCGGCGCTGGCCACCGTGCGGAAACGCGTGCGAGCGAGCAGCTCAATGAAGCCGCGAGAGAGCTGGTCGACCAGGCGAGCTGCGGTGCGAGCAGACGAACGCGACGCTCGGAGCTGCGTGCGATGCGAAGGAGGCGACCCCGTCGGTGGCTGGATCGGATGTGGGCAGTACGTGTCGAAATGGTCGGTCGATCAATGGTGGCGATAGGATGAACGCGCTCGCGTTGCGTGTGGCAGCGTGCGTAGGTGGTGCGTTTGGTGTTTGTGTTTGTGTTTGTTTGTTGTTGGTCTTGATTGTGTGTTTGTTGGTGGCGATGGTGTTCAGCCTTCCCATATAGTCTAGGCGGTTAGGATAGCTGGCTCTCACCCAGCAGACCCGGGTTCGAGTCCCGGTGTGGGAACATCTTTTGCTCTTCTTTGCTGCTTCTCCACTCTTGTTTTCGCCGCTTTGGGCGTTCGTCACAGTCTCGGTGCCGTGCTGACCCGCTGCTACATCCCATCCACGGATCCAACCATGCTCGCACGACCAGGAGGTACTCGAGTCTGTCCGGCCATTGGTCGGCGCGTGCAGGCCTACTTGTCGGCGCTGGCCACCGTGCGGAAACGCGTGCGAGCGAGCAGCTCAATGAAGCCGCGAGAGAGCTGGTCGACCAGGCGAGCTGCGGTGCGAGCAGACGAACGCGACGCTCGGAGCTGCGTGCGATGCGAAGGAGGCGACCCCGTCGGTGGCTGGATCGGATGTGGGCAGTACGTGTCGAAATGGTCGGTCGATCAATGGTGGCGATAGGATGAACGCGCTCGCGTTGCGTGTGGCAGCGTGCGTAGGTGGTGCGTTTGGTGTTTGTGTTTGTGTTTGTTTGTTGTTGGTCTTGATTGTGTGTTTGTTGGTGGCGATGGTGTTCAGCCTTCCCATATAGTCTAGGCGGTTAGGATAGCTGGCTCTCACCCAGCAGACCCGGGTCGAGTCCCGGTGTGGGAACATCTTTTGCTCTTCTTTGCTGCTTCTCCACTCTTGTTTTCGCCGCTTTGGGCGTTCGTCACAGTCTCGGTGCCGTGCTGACCCGCTGCTACATCCCATCCACGGATCCAACCATGCTCGCACGACCAGGAGGTACTCGAGTCTGTCCGGCCATTGGTCGGCGCGTGCAGGCCTACTTGTCGGCGCTGGCGACCGTGCGGAAACGCGTGCGAGCGAGCAGCTCAATGAAGCCGCGAGAGAGCTGGTCGACCAGGCGAGCTGCGGTGCGAGCAGACGAACGCGACGCTCGGAGCTGCGTGCGATGCGAAGGAGGCGACCCGATCGGTGGCTGGATCGGATGTGGGCAGTACGTGTCGAAATGGTCGGTCGATCAATGGTGGCGATAGGATGAACGCGCTCGCGTTGCGTGTGGCAGCGTGCGTAGGTGGTGCGTTTGGTGTTTGGTGTTTGTGTTTGTTTGTTGTTGGTCTTGATTGTGTGTTTGTTGGTGGCGATGGTGTTCAGCCTTCCCATATAGTCTAGGCGGTTAGGATAGCTGGCTCTCACCCAGCAGACCCGGGTCGAGTCCCGGTGTGGGAACATCTTTTGCTCTTCTTTGCTGCTTCTCCACTCTTGTTTTCGCCGCTTTGGGCGTTCGTCACAGTCTCGGTGCCGTGCTGACCCGCTGCTACATCCCATCCACGGATCCAACCATGCTCGCACGACCAGGAGGTACTCGAGTCTGTCCGGCCATTGGTCGGCGCGTGCAGGCCTACTTGTCGGCGCTGGCCACCGTGCGGAAACGCGTGCGAGCGAGCAGCTCAATGAAGCCGCGAGAGAGCTGGTCGACCAGGCGAGCTGCGGTGCGAGCAGACGAACGCGACGCTCGGAGCTGCGTGCGATGCGAAGGAGGCGACCCGATCGGTGGCTGGATCGGATGTGGGCAGTACGTGTCGAAATGGTCGGTCGATCAATGGTGGCGATAGGATGAACGCGCTCGCGTTGCGTGTGGCAGCGTGCGTAGGTGGTGCGTTTGGTGTTTGTGTTTGTGTTTGTGTTTGTTTTTTGTTGGTCTTGATTGTGTGTTTGTTGGTGGCGATGGTGTTCAGCCTTCCCATATAGTCTAGGCGGTTAGGATAGCTGGCTCTCACCCAGCAGACCCGGGTTCGAGTCCCGGTGTGGGAACATCTTTTGCTCTTCTTTGCTGCTTCTCCACTCTTCTTTTCGCCGCTTTGGGCGTTCGTCACAGTCTCGGTGCCGTGCTGACCCGCTGCTACATCCCATCCACGGATCCAACCATGCTCGCACGACCAGGAGGTACTCGAGTCTGTCCGGCCATTGGTCGGCGCGTGCAGGCCTACTTGTCGGCGCTGGCCACCGTGCGGAAACGCGTGCGAGCAGCTCAATGAAGCCGCGAGAGAGCTGGTCGACCAGGCGAGCTGCGGTGCGAGCAGACGAACGCGACGCTCGGAGCTGCGTGCGATGCGAAGGAGGCGACCCCGTCGGTGGCTGGATCGGATGTGGGCAGTACGTGTCGAAATGGTCGGTCGATCAATGGTGGCGATAGGATGAACGCGCTCGCGTTGCGTGTGGCAGCGTGCGTAGGTGGTGCGTTTGGTGTTTGTGTTTGTGTTTGTGTTTGTTTGTTGTTGGTCTTGATTGTGTGTTTGTTGGTGGCGATGGTGTTCAGCCTTCCCATATAGTCTAGGCGGTTAGGATAGCTGGCTCTCACCCAGCAGACCCGGGTTCGAGTCCCGGTGTGGGAACATCTTTTGCTCTTCTTTGCTGCTTCTCCACTCTTCTTTTCGCCGCTTTGGGCGTTCGTCACAGTCTCGGTGCCGTGCTGACCCGCTGCTACATCCCATCCACGGATCCAACCATGCTCGCACGACCAGGAGGTACTCGAGTCTGTCCGGCCATTGGTCGGCGCGTGCAGGCCTACTTGTCGGCGCTGGCGACCGTGCGGAAACGCGTGCGAGCAGCTCAATGAAGCCGCGAGAGAGCTGGTCGACCAGGCGAGCTGCGGTGCGAGCAGACGAACGCGACGCTCGGAGCTGCGTGCGATGCGAAGGAGGCGACCCCGTCGGTGGCTGGATCGGATGTGGGCAGTACGTGTCGAAATGGTCGGTCGATCAATGGTGGCGATAGGATGAACGCGCTCGCGTTGCGTGTGGCAGCGTGCGTAGGTGGTGCGTTTGGTGTTTGTGTTTGTGTTTGTGTTTGTTTGTTGTTGGTCTTGATTGTGTGTTTGTTGGTGGCGATGGTGTTCAGCCTTCCCATATAGTCTAGGCGGTTAGGATAGCTGGCTCTCACCCAGCAGACCCGGGTTCGAGTCCCGGTGTGGGAACATCTTTTGCTCTTCTTTGCTGCTTCTCCACTCTTGTTTTCGCCGCTTTGGGCGTTCGTCACAGTCTCGGTGCCGTGCTGACCCGCTGCTACATCCCATCCACGGATCCAACCATGCTCGCACGACCAGGAGGTACTCGAGTCTGTCCGGCCATTGGTCGGCGCGTGCAGGCCTACTTGTCGGCGCTGGCGACCGTGCGGAAACGCGTGCGAGCAGCTCAATGAAGCCGCGAGAGAGCTGGTCGACCAGGCGAGCTGCGGTGCGAGCAGACGAACGCGACGCTCGGAGCTGCGTGCGATGCGAAGGAGGCGACCCCGTCGGTGGCTGGATCGGATGTGGGCAGTACGTGTCGAAATGGTCGGTCGATCAATGGTGGCGATAGGATGAACGCGCTCGCGTTGCGTGTGGCAGCGTGCGTAGGTGGTGCGTTTGGTGTTTGTGTTTGTGTTTGTGTTTGTTTGTTGTTGGTCTTGATTGTGTGTTTGTTGGTGGCGATGGTGTTCAGCCTTCCCATATAGTCTAGGCGGTTAGGATAGCTGGCTCTCACCCAGCAGACCCGGGTTCGAGTCCCGGTGTGGGAACATCTTTTGCTCTTCTTTGCTGCTTCTCCACTCTTGTTTTCGCCGCTTTGGGCGTTCGTCACAGTCTCGGTGCCGTGCTGACCCGCTGCTACATCCCATCCACGGATCCAACCATGCTCGCACGACCAGGAGGTACTCGAGTCTGTCCGGCCATTGGTCGGCGCGTGCAGGCCTACTTGTCGGCGCTGGCCACCGTGCGGAAACGCGTGCGAGCAGCTCAATGAAGCCGCGAGAGAGCTGGTCGACCAGGCGAGCTGCGGTGCGAGCAGACGAACGCGACGCTCGGAGCTGCGTGCGATGCGAAGGAGGCGACCCCGTCGGTGGCTGGATCGGATGTGGGCAGTACGTGTCGAAATGGTCGGTCGATCAATGGTGGCGATAGGATGAACGCGCTCGCGTTGCGTGTGGCAGCGTGCGTAGGTGGTGCGTTTGGTGTTTGTGTTTGTGTTTGTGTTTGTTTGTTGTTGGTCTTGATTGTGTGTTTGTTGGTGGCGATGGTGTTCAGCCTTCCCATATAGTCTAGGCGGTTAGGATAGCTGGCTCTCACCCAGCAGACCCGGGTTCGAGTCCCGGTGTGGGAACATCTTTTGCTCTTCTTTGCTGCTTCTCCACTCTTGTTTTCGCCGCTTTGGGCGTTCGTCACAGTCTCGGTGCCGTGCTGACCCGCTGCTACATCCCATCCACGGATCCAACCATGCTCGCACGACCAGGAGGTACTCGAGTCTGTCCGGCCATTGGTCGGCGCGTGCAGGCCTACTTGTCGGCGCTGGCGACCGTGCGGAAACGCGTGCGAGCAGCTCAATGAAGCCGCGAGAGAGCTGGTCGACCAGGCGAGCTGCGGTGCGAGCAGACGAACGCGACGCTCGGAGCTGCGTGCGATGCGAAGGAGGCGACCCCGTCGGTGGCTGGATCGGATGTGGGCAGTACGTGTCGAAATGGTCGGTCGATCAATGGTGGCGATAGGATGAACGCGCTCGCGTTGCGTGTGGCAGCGTGCGTAGGTGGTGCGTTTGGTGTTTGTGTTTGTGTTTGTGTTTGTTTGTTGTTGGTCTTGATTGTGTGTTTGTTGGTGGCGATGGTGTTCAGCCTTCCCATATAGTCTAGGCGGTTAGGATAGCTGGCTCTCACCCAGCAGACCCGGGTTCGAGTCCCGGTGTGGGAACATCTTTTGCTCTTCTTTGCTGCTTCTCCACTCTTGTTTTCGCCGCTTTGGGTGTTCGTCACAGTCTCGGTGCCGTGCTGACCCGCTGCTACATCCCATCCACGGATCCAACCATGCTCGCACGACCAGGAGGTACTCGAGTCTGTCCGGCCATTGGTCGGCGCGTGCAGGCCTACTTGTCGGCGCTGGCCACCGTGCGGAAACGCGTGCGAGCGAGCAGCTCAATGAAGCCGCGAGAGAGCTGGTCGACCAGGCGAGCTGCGGTGCGAGCAGACGAACGCGACGCTCGGAGCTGCGTGCGATGCGAAGGAGGCGACCCCGTCGGTGGCTGGATCGGATGTGGGCAGTACGTGTCGAAATGGTCGGTCGATCAATGGTGGCGATAGGATGAACGCGCTTGCGTTGCGTGTGGCAGCGTGCGTAGGTGGTGCGTTTGGTGTTTGTGTTTGTGTTTGTTTGTTGTTGGTCTTGATTGTGTGTTTGTTGGTGGCGATGGTGTTCAGCCTTCCCATATAGTCTAGGCGGTTAGGATAGCTGGCTCTCACCCAGCAGACCCGGGTCGAGTCCCGGTGTGGGAACATCTTTTGCTCTTCTTTGCTGCTTCTCCACTCTTGTTTTCGCCGCTTTGGGCGTTCGTCACAGTCTCGGTGCCGTGCTGACCCGCTGCTACATCCCATCCACGGATCCAACCATGCTCGCACGACCAGGAGGTACTCGAGTCTGTCCGGCCATTGGTCGGCGCGTGCAGGCCTACTTGTCGGCGCTGGCCACCGTGCGGAAACGCGTGCGAGCGAGCAGCTCAATGAAGCCGCGAGAGAGCTGGTCGACCAGGCGAGCTGCGGTGCGAGCAGACGAACGCGACGCTCGGAGCTGCGTGCGATGCGAAGGAGGCGACCCCGTCGGTGGCTGGATCGGATGTGGGCAGTACGTGTCGAAATGGTCGGTCGATCAATGGTGGCGATAGGATGAACGCGCTCGCGTTGCGTGTGGCAGCGTGCGTAGGTGGTGCGTTTGGTGTTTGTGTTTGTGTTTGTTTGTTGTTGGTCTTGATTGTGTGTTTGTTGGTGGCGATGGTGTTCAGCCTTCCCATATAGTCTAGGCGGTTAGGATAGCTGGCTCTCACCCAGCAGACCCGGGTCGAGTCCCGGTGTGGGAACATCTTTTGCTCTTCTTTGCTGCTTCTCCACTCTTGTTTTCGCCGCTTTGGGCGTTCGTCACAGTCTCGGTGCCGTGCTGACCCGCTGCTACATCCCATCCACGGATCCAACCATGCTCGCACGACCAGGAGGTACTCGAGTCTGTCCGGCCATTGGTCGGCGCGTGCAGGCCTACTTGTCGGCGCTGGCCACCGTGCGGAAACGCGTGCGAGCGAGCAGCTCAATGAAGCCGCGAGAGAGCTGGTCGACCAGGCGAGCTGCGGTGCGAGCAGACGAACGCGACGCTCGGAGCTGCGTGCGATGCGAAGGAGGCGACCCCGTCGGTGGCTGGATCGGATGTGGGCAGTACGTGTCGAAATGGTCGGTCGATCAATGGTGGCGATAGGATGAACGCGCTCGCGTTGCGTGTGGCAGCGTGCGTGGGTGGTGCGTTTGGTGTTTGTGTTTGTTTGTGGTTGGCTTTGATTGTGTGTTTGTTGGTGGCGATGGTGTTCAGCCTTCCCATATAGTCTAGGCGGTTAGGATAGCTGGCTCTCACCCAGCAGACCCGGGTTCGAGTCCCGGTGTGGGAACATCTTTTGCTCTTCTTTGCTGCTTCTCCACTCTTCTTTTCGCCGCTTTGGGCGTTCGTCACAGTCTCGGTGCCGTGCTGACCCGCTGCTACATCCCATCCACGGATCCAACCATGCTCGCACGACCAGGAGGTACTCGAGTCTGTCCGGCCATTGGTCGGCGCGTGCAGGCCTACTTGTCGGCGCTGGCGACCGTGCGGAAACGCGTGCGAGCGAGCAGCTCAATGAAGCCGCGAGAGAGCTGGTCGACCAGGCGAGCTGCGGTGCGAGCAGACGAACGCGACGCTCGGAGCTGCGTGCGATGCGAAGGAGGCGACCCCGTCGGTGGCTGGATCGGATGTGGGCAGTACGTGTCGAAATGGTCGGTCGATCAATGGTGGCGATAGGATGAACGCGCTCGCGTTGCGTGTGGCAGCGTGCGTAGGTGGTGCGTTTGGTGTTTGTGTTTGTGTTTGTGTTTGTTTGTTGTTGGTCTTGATTGTGTGTTTGTTGGTGGCGATGGTGTTCAGCCTTCCCATATAGTCTAGGCGGTTAGGATAGCTGGCTCTCACCCAGCAGACCCGGGTTCGAGTCCCGGTGTGGGAACATCTTTTGCTCTTCTTTGCTGCTTCTCCACTCTTCTTTTCGCCGCTTTGGGCGTTCGTCACAGTCTCGGTGCCGTGCTGACCCGCTGCTACATCCCATCCACGGATCCAACCATGCTCGCACGACCAGGAGGTACTCGAGTCTGTCCGGCCATTGGTCGGCGCGTGCAGGCCTACTTGTCGGCGCTGGCGACCGTGCGGAAACGCGTGCGAGCAGCTCAATGAAGCCGCGAGAGAGCTGGTCGACCAGGCGAGCTGCGGTGCGAGCAGACGAACGCGACGCTCGGAGCTGCGTGCGATGCGAAGGAGGCGACCCCGTCGGTGGCTGGATCGGATGTGGGCAGTACGTGTCGAAATGGTCGGTCGATCAATGGTGGCGATAGGATGAACGCGCTCGCGTTGCGTGTGGCAGCGTGCGTAGGTGGTGCGTTTGGTGTTTGTGTTTGTGTTTGTTTGTTGTTGGTCTTGATTGTGTGTTTGTTGGTGGCGATGGTGTTCAGCCTTCCCATATAGTCTAGGCGGTTAGGATAGCTGGCTCTCACCCAGCAGACCCGGGTCGAGTCCCGGTGTGGGAACATCTATTGCTCTTCTTTGCTGCTTCTCCACTCTTGTTTTCGCCGCTTTGGGCGTTCGTCACAGTCTCGGTGCCGTGCTGACCCGCTGCTACATCCCATCCACGGATCCAACCATGCTCGCACGACCAGGAGGTACTCGAGTCTGTCCGGCCATTGGTCGGCGCGTGCAGGCCTACTTGTCGGCGCTGGCCACCGTGCGGAAACGCGTGCGAGCGAGCAGCTCAATGAAGCCGCGAGAGAGCTGGTCGACCAGGCGAGCTGCGGTGCGAGCAGACGAACGCGACGCTCGGAGCTGCGTGCGATGCGAAGGAGGCGACCCCGTCGGTGGCTGGATCGGATGTGGGCAGTACGTGTCGAAATGGTCGGTCGATCAATGGTGGCGATAGGATGAACGCGCTCGCGTTGCGTGTGGCAGCGTGCGTAGGTGGTGCGTTTGGTGTTTGTGTTTGTTTGTGGTTGGTCTTGATTGTGTGTTTGTTGGTGGCGATGGTGTTCAGCCTTCCCATATAGTCTAGGCGGTTAGGATAGCTGGCTCTCACCCAGCAGACCCGGGTTCGAGTCCCGGTGTGGGAACATCTTTTGCTCTTCTTTGCTGCTTCTCCACTCTTGTTTTCGCCGCTTTGGGCGTTCGTCACAGTCTCGGTGCCGTGCTGACCCGCTGCTACATCCCATCCACGGATCCAACCATGCTCGCACGACCAGGAGGTACTCGAGTCTGTCCGGCCATTGGTCGGCGCGTGCAGGCCTACTTGTCGGCGCTGGCCACCGTGCGGAAACGCGTGCGAGCGAGCAGCTCAATGAAGCCGCGAGAGAGCTGGTCGACCAGGCGAGCTGCGGTGCGAGCAGACGAACGCGACGCTCGGAGCTGCGTGCGATGCGAAGGAGGCGACCCCGTCGGTGGCTGGATCGGATGTGGGCAGTACGTGTCGAAATGGTCGGTCGATCAATGGTGGCGATAGGATGAACGCGCTCGCGTTGCGTGTGGCAGCGTGCGTAGGTGGTGCGTTTGGTGTTTGTGTTTGTGTTTGTTTGTTGTTGGTCTTGATTGTGTGTTTGTTGGTGGCGATGGTGTTCAGCCTTCCCATATAGTCTAGGCGGTTAGGATAGCTGGCTCTCACCCAGCAGACCCGGGTTCGAGTCCCGGTGTGGGAACATCTTTTGCTCTTCTTTGCTGCTTCTCCACTCTTCTTTTCGCCGCTTTGGGCGTTCGTCACAGTCTCGGTGCCGTGCTGACCCGCTGCTACATCCCATCCACGGATCCAACCATGCTCGCACGACCAGGAGGTACTCGAGTCTGTCCGGCCATTGGTCGGCGCGTGCAGGCCTACTTGTAGGCGCTGGCCACCGTGCGGAAACGCGTGCGAGCGAGCAGCTCAATGAAGCCGCGAGAGAGCTGGTCGACCAGGCGAGCTGCGGTGCGAGCAGACGAACGCGACGCTCGGAGCTGCGTGCGATGCGAAGGAGGCGACCCCGTCGGTGGCTGGATCGGATGTGGGCAGTACGTGTCGAAATGGTCGGTCGATCAATGGTGGCGATAGGATGAACGCGCTCGCGTTGCGTGTGGCAGCGTGCGTAGGTGGTGCGTTTGGTGTTTGTGTTTGTGTTTGTGTTTGTTTGTTGTTGGCCTTGATTGTGTGT